GAGAATTAGGTGGCTGCGCTATGCACCGGCACGCCCTTAGAAAATACGTTCTCGGAAGGGAGGCGGAGGGAGAAGGGAGAGGAAAGGGCGGGGAGGGAATTAGAGGTGGAGATACTAACGGGAGAGAGAGAGAGACAGAGAGAGAGAGAGAGAGAGAGAGAGAGAGAGAGAGATGAGAATGAGAGAGTTAGAGAGAGAGAGAGAGAGAGAGAGAGAGAGAGAGAGAGAGAGAGAGAGAGAGAGAGATAAAGAAAGAGAGAGAAAGAGAAAAAGAGACAGACACAGACACAAACAGACAGAGCCTAATACACAGATCAAAACAGAGATCAACTCACCGACAATCGACCAAGCCAACAAGCACCAACACTCCACAACCACAATCATAACAACCGGAACTGATAAATTCCCCTCTTCGAAATGGCCTGTCTCGCATTTGCAATAGTCTCCCCTCAAGACTCTTCACCCCCAAAGAAAACGCATTTCTCAAGAGCAATGTGCGTTACCGCCTGAACATGTGTTTTCATTAGCGACTGACCTTTGACCTCCCTATTCGACGATAATGATCATGGAGACATAAATCAACCGACGAAAATGAGCCTTATTGGAACGATAATCACTCGCTGGTAAGGGGCACGAAGGGGAAACTTGCTTACGGAAAAGGTACTTGAGAAAAAACGTTGATAAAATAGATGAGATATATGGAAGAAAAAATGGAGTAGAGAGAGAGAGAGAGAGAGAGAGAGAGAGAGAGAGAGAGAGAGAGAGAGAGAGAGAGAGAGAGAGAGAGAGAGAGAGAGAGAGAGAGAGAGAGAGAGAGAGAGAGAAGAGAGAGAGAGAGAGAGATGCACTCTCCGCTGGAGACAAAGACAAGATGGTCCCAACACGTGTATCTTGTGTGTCTTGAGATGCTTAATGTACCAACCTCTTCCGCAATACCCCCAGCCCTCCCCTCCCCCTCCCCTACCCTTAACCCCCTCCTTCCCTCTTACTCGTATTCTGCCCTTCCCGGAAACCTTCTCTCTTCTCTCTCTCTCTCTCTCTCTCTCTCTCTCTCTCTCTCTCTCTCTCTCTCTCTCTCTCTCTCTCTCTCTCTCTCTCTTCTCGCTCTCTCTCATTCTTCGGAAATAATTCTCTACCTCTCCTTCCCTTCCTCCCCTACACCCCCTCCCTCTACCCTCCCCCTTAACCACCTCCTTCTCTCTTTCTCGCCCCTTCTCCTTCCCCTTCCCTCTCTTTATTCCCCTCTCCACTCCCTCCTTCTCAGTAAGCACCCCCCCACCCCCACCCCCCATAAACACACCCTCAACTCCATTTCCCTCGCTTCTCGGTCTACGATTAGCCCCTCCTACTTTTTTCTATCTTCTTCTTTTCTTCTTCTTCTTCTTCGTCTTCTTTATTGTCACTCAATATTCTCGTCATTCTCCGCATCGGTCGGTTGATACTCCTTTCCTTCTTTTTCGTTTATCTAATTTTTATTTGTCTTTCCGTGTATCTCTCTTTTTTGTGATGATTTTCCTCTTTCTCCTTCTCCATCTTCTCCCTCGCGTTGTTGTTCCTCCTCCTCGCCGTCTTCCTTCTTCCCCTATTTCTTCTTGTCTTCCTCCTCCTTCTTCCTTCTCCCACTCGCCCTCCTCCTCCTCCTTCCCTACTTCCTCCTCCTTCTCTTCCTTCTTCCCCTTCCTCCTCGACTTCCTCCCCTCTTCCTCCTCGACTTCCTCTTCCTCCTCTCTCCCCTCTTCTCTTCTCGTCGTCCTCCTCCTCCCCTTTCTCCCCTTCTCCTCCTCCCCCTTCTCCTCTTCTCCTCCTCCCCTTCTCCTCCTCTTCCTCCTCCCCTTCTCCTCCTCCTCCTCCTCCTCCTCCTCCTCCTCGGTGACTCTTGAGAGGCCGGAGGCAACAAGTAACAAGGCATTCAAAGACACTCTTTTACACGTGCAAAAGCGCCATTGAGATTCCATAGAAAACGGGACCAAGAACTGAAAGAAAACGGAGGAGTCTCCTTCGTCTCCACTTTCATCAAGGCATCTCTTTTTCTTTCTTTATTTATCCTCTTTCTTTTGCTGTTTCTCCGATTTCTACGTCCCGGATTCCTCTCTCCTTAACCTCCATCTGTCTCTACTTTTCCTATCTTCTTCTTCTCTTCCTTCCTCACATCTTCTAGCTCCTTTTCCTCAAGCTTCTCATCTTCCTTTAGAAACTTCTTCTTTCTCTTCTTATTCTTATTCTTTTTTCCTCTCCTCCTCCTCCTCCATCCCCATTACCTTCCTCCCCTCCTCCCCCTCCTCCTCCTCCTCCTCCTCCTCCTCCTCCTCCTCCTCCTCCTCCCCCTCCCCCACCCCCTTCCTCCTCCTCCCACCCCTCCCCTCCTCCTCCTCCTCCTCCTCCTCCTCCTCCTCCTCCTCCCCACCCCCTCCTCCTCCTCCTCCTCCTCCTCTCCTCTCCTCCCCACCCTCCTTCCTCCTCCTTCCTCCTCCTCCTCCTCCTCCTCCTCCTCCTCCCTCCT